TTTTTTAAAAAATACAAGGTATGAATTTAAAGTGGAAAGGGTGTGAAATGCCGGTTTCTTTTTGTTTCGGAGAAAGCGAAGATTGTGCGTTCAGTGTTGGAACGATGGTCGCTAAGAACTCCCAACAATGGGTGAAGGAATAATAGTACAACCAGCTGAGAAATGGAGAGTTTTGAAAGGCAATATTCTTCAATGTGGGAAAGTAATAAAGTGTCAAAATGAACTTCAATAGAAAAGCCTGTGCGAGGAAGGGGGAGAGCGTGGCTTTTATCCTGCTGTCAGGGCTCGGGATTTGTTTTCTTTTTACTCTGACAAAACTCTTTGGGGTGATTTTTTTTTCTCCTCAATTCAAACAGTTGATACTAGTGTTAATTTAAACTCTCATGTGTTTACATCCTCAAATCTTTTGAAGAGAACCCACCCCCAATGTTTTTGTTATCTGGGAACTTTTAAGGACAGAGCTACTGTTTCCAAGGCACACACACACACACACAGAGAGAGAGAGAGAGAGAGAGAGAGAGAGAGAGAGAGAGAGAGAGAGAGAGAGAGAGAGTCCTCAATTGGATTGAGAAGTAAATGAATTCAGAATAACTCAGGACACCATTAAAGGCTTGTATTTGCTTCCATGCAGCTACATGATTATTTTGGAGAAAAAAAAGTGTCACTCTTTAGTCACTGATTACTTAATTTATAAAACACTGGCCACAGAGCGATGCTTTGCACAGAGACCAGTGACAGAGCTTCACAGGCGGCAAGTCCACAGCTGAACTTCATCTAGGATTTCAGGTTCTGACTTCTCTCCTGTCATTGGCCACTGATCTGCTTGATTTCCTCCAAGAATTCCAGGCCAGAGGAAAGAATGCCAGAGACATGTTTCCAAAGAGATGAGTCACCCGGTGGCTTGATAGAAGAAAATCTGTGTTCGCTTTGCAAAGGGATTTGAACAGATACTGGAGGAGCGGGTTTCGTCACTGTTTTCAGCTTTATACTGAACAGTGTGGTGCTTTCTGTCCCAACACTTAAAGACACTAAGTCCACAGCACCTCCCTTCTGTGTGTCCTGGGAAACTTGTATTTGAAAAACAGAGAGGCAATGTTGTGTGTGTGTGTATGTGTGTGTGTGTGTGTGTGTGTGTGTGTGTGTGTATGACATGTGTATGAGTAGGTGTGTGTATGAGTGTGTGTGTGTGTGTGTATGCATGACATGTGTATGAGTAGGTGTGTGTATGAGTATGTGTGTGTGTGTGTATATGTGTGTGCATGACATGTGTATGAGTAGGGATGTATGAGTATGTGTGTGTGTTATCCCACAGGAGAAGTTAAAGATATCATTAGCATCCTTCCTCTGACTTCCTTAAATTAGACTGCAGGCATTCCAGTACTAGCCTGCCCTGATATAAGGGATTTTGGGGCTCTCCATTGTGTACAGAAGTCTTCCTCTTTCCCTCTTCTTGAAGGTCCCCCAACATCTCTCTCGACCGAGTTTCTCTATTACTTTCAAAGTCCATACTGTAAACTGTTGGCTTTGTGGCACTTTCTTTGCCCAGGGGACACATGACATCCCTCCCTACACCCACAGCCTTCATTTCATCCTAAAGTATTTATTAGTCTTTCTGCATCTGGTAGCTCTTCAGGTTCTAGAAGGGGGTGATAAGAAGAGAACAAGAGTGGATGCAGTGTGGGCACAACCCTAGAGAATGAAGAACTAGAAAGAAGCAAGCAAACACAAATCTATAGATACTAGGCTTGTGGTCATAATATAGTGCTTTGAACACAGAGGTCTGTGGTTGAACTATGCCTGGGGTGAGAAAAAGGACAATGTGAGTCACTAAGGATAAAGGAAGTTGGGTGTATCTCTCTGGAAGGTGCTACCAGGCTATAAAGGGAACTGCCATGTGAAGATCTGGGAGATGAGAGGCAAGCAAAGGTCCTGGGGCAGAGACATATCTCCCTGAGTTCCGGGGACAAGAGAAAAGTTAATTGTCTGGGGCCCAGTCAGCTAAGGAGTCATAGCTGAGAGCTGCCCTCAGAGAGTGGGTGTGCCAGGTCACAGAGGGATTTGTGCACCAGCAGAGAGGGCATGATTTCAATGTCTTGGAACAGAGTCAGGCAAAAGGTTATAAGGATTCTGTTCTTTGAGTGTCATTTATGGCCCAGCAATGCTCTGCACAGTCCTTGGTAAGGGAAAGAGCAACCGCTCTACTTGAGTAAAAGTTAATCAGCTTCACAGTGGGGCGGGGGGAGGGGACAGTAAACATTTGCCAAACTGTGAGAGGAATAGAGCAGTGAGGACTCTGAAACGGATTATTTTAGATGTCTGGAATTCTGCTGCAGCAGAAAGTTGGGATTATATGCTGCCTTTGTTTGTTTGTTTTTGAGACAGGCTACACAGCTGAGGATGACCCTCAACTCCTGACCATTTTGCTTCTGTCTCCAAACACTGAGATGATAGACCTGGATGGTCATACTCGGATTTTGCAATGCTGGGGCTTGAACCCTGGGAGGTGTGCATGCCAGGTATGCTACGAACTGAGTGGCACACTGGCCATCACACCTTATTCTTGATGATGGCCTGCTGTCACATGCCCGTCTTGATGGTAGGCATGTCCGAGAATTTTGAGAAAGAGCAGGTGCAGGTCTAAGGAAGGAGAAGGTGTGAGGGTGGGAACCAGTGCAGACTGCCTTCTGGTCCAACTTCTGTCTCGCGCTTGGCTGGTCATGGCTATAATATCCCATCTCTCTTAACCTTTGTTTTCAGCCAAGAAAATTCGTGTGATGTGAGTAGGATCCGTGTTATTGATTGTCATGAGCTTTTACTGAAGCTATCCATGTTGAACAGTAAGAATGGGGTCTTTCAAACCCCCCAACTGTTTCCTCAATGCAGGTCAAAGGCTTTCCAAGTGCCACTGTTACAAAGGCCTTCTCAGGATCTTCTCAAGTTCTGCGATGTCAATCCTTGGCTGTTTTTCATGCCCTTTCTGGGGTTACAGGAGAACACTGACAGTAAAATGATACAGAGGAACCTAGTGTTTATTTTAAACATCTCAAGCAAAACCTGCTTTTTTTTTTAACTCAGGGAAGCTGAGAAATACATATTCAGGAAGGAATATTGAGGAGACATGAGTGGTAGTCATTTGGCAGACAATTATGATCCCAATACATCTTATTAATTTTCCTTCATGCTTGACTCCACTATAAACTTGTGTGCATGAAAAACCCTTGTGTGCCTCAGCTCATACCTCATAACCTGTGTCATTTATATCTCTTCGTTGTCCTCCGGGAACTGTCTTTGGTGGATTTGCAATGCTCACCGTGTATCACCTCTAAGAGCTTCCTCTAGATGAAGGCCGTGTTGGCTCACTGTCCCTGTATACCCTGTGCTTCATGGCACGTGCCTGAAGCACTGTAGGGGGGTGATGAGCTCTTGTCCCTTGGGAAGAAGCCAGTGGGACAAGTTTCATCATAGGGAGCAAAGTGTCAAGTAATCAATCCAGCCTGGGGGCTTTAACTGAGGTACGTTTTAGAAGTTTGATCTCTGGTAGGCTTGGATTTCCCAGTGCATTCTTTGGAGGCTCTTTACCTCTCTTTTCATGAAGATGCTGAGATTTAGATCCGAAGGCATGGTTAAAAATGAGTGGTAGAATTTAGGCTGGAGGCCTTGGAGGGTGTGGTACACTGCTCCTTTCCAACTCTTAAATAATTCTGAACACTTTAACCAGCCAAACAAATGACTCCCTCTGGCCCTTTTGTCCATTTCTTCTGCTTCTTCCTTGCTGTTCCCAGCAGCATTATGTAAGTTACCTGGGAATTGCACAGCTTGGCTGCCCTGAGCCAGATAGCCGGAATTCTAGAATCTTCACGTAGTCAGACACAACAGTAAAGCTGGATGATTTGAGGCTAACCAGGAAGAATCTGGGAGGAATGTGTTAACTCAGTCTTAATTTTTAAATTTAAAAATGATATTTCAAGTGAATGACACTTTTTCTAATCATTGTGTCTTTCAAGTAGTTGGAGCCAAAAAGGACAGAGGCAAGCCACATGTCTAGAAATTGGTAGCCCAGTTTGGTGTTTTTCAAAAAGTTTGAGTAAACTGTGAGGACACACTTAATAGTTCAGCAGTAGCCATCTTTTCCATCCCTGGCCACCTTCCACGAGTTACTAGGAAATGAGCAGAAGTTGTCAACGAAGTTCTAATTCCACATCCCCCTGCCCTTTATCCCCATCGAGGAACATGGAGACTAATGTCTTCCATTCTGACTTTGAGGTTAGATTATTCAACTTGCTTCCCTTTTGAATGGTTTGGATTATTGTAACATATTTAACTGAGTTATTTATTGTGAAGTAGTAGCATCCCCCCCCATATTTATTCTCACTATAGTGTAAACATCTACAGTAATTTATGACACTTAGAAATCATTCAGCACCAAATAGGAAATTTTCAAACCCAAAGCTTGTCTTTTCTTTTGCTACAAAGGAACTCTAAGGTGTTCTGATCTCTCACAGCTCGGGGCTGCGTTCTTTGCTCCACCACACTCCACACATCCCTGTGCTTCTCTTGATTATCTTGTCAGATGAACGCTGCTCATAGTTGTTCACAAATGGGCCAGCTTTAGATGGTGTATGTCATGAGACAGTTTCCAAAATTTAAAAGTTCACCCCTTGACCTGAAACCAGAATTCTCTTGTCAACATTTAATGTCATTGTGATGGAAACCATCCTAAAATAAACCTCCAGTGAGAAGCAGCCAGCATCTAGATTTGGTGTTGGTCAGTGCTTTCTGCTAGAACCTTCTGGACTTCCCTAGAGGGGGTTGTGAGAACCGTTTTAGAACTTACATTTTCTTACATTACCCTGAGAGCTTCTGTGGCTCTTTTGTAGTTCTTCTGGAAGGAGGAGATGGAGGGGCTGCCAGGCTCCAGTCTGATCTTTGAGTCTGACGTATGTCCTCAGGCACAGCTTCCCTTGACAGCACTGTTGCCAATAGTCTGGGGCATGGCTTACCTTTGGGCCATGCCTACAGGAAATATCTTCGTAAGTCACAGAAGATGAGACACGTGGGCACTTCTTTAGTTGCTGCAAACTGAAGCACAGTTCAAGTCACTGTTTCTTCAGTCAACGGCCTCCAAAGGGTGGTGGTTCACTGATGACAGTGGAATTTCACTCAAGGTAGTGGCAGAGAGAAGTGGGACTGTAACGCCCAGTGCTGACCTGGAGCCAGAGAATAAAATAACTGTTTTGTGGTGTGGGAGATTGAGCCCATGACTCGCTATGCATCAGCCAAATGCTCTACTAGCAAGTTACACCCCTGGCCCTAAAGTGGCTTAAAACTGATAGAATACATGGCAAATCCCACACTAGTGACTCTGAAATTATGTATGTACATGTATATACACACATATATGTGCACACATATGTATATAATGAGAAATAAATATATTAAACTATATAAACAAGTGATTTAAGCCAAATTACCTTTAGAGTGTTTTCTTTATGCAAATATGGATAGGACACATTTCCTATATGCTACTCCCCCTGTCTTGTTTTTATAGAGTTGGTGGCACACTAGAACTGCATTGCCATAGATTTCTGTTACATTAATCCTTAGAATGCTGTGTTCTAAAGTATGTATGTAATTCTTTTCTTTTTTTCAGACAGGGTCTCATGTAGCTGAGGCTGATTTTGAACTTCTGATCCTCTGCCTCCATTTGCCAAGTACTGGGATTACAGGCGTGTACCACTGTACCTAATTACAATTCTCTTACTTTTCTCCCCTCCCTCCCTCCCTCCCTCCCTGCCCCCCTCCCTTCCTCCCTCCCTCCCTCCCCTCTATCATTCTTATGGTGGTTCTAGGAATGGAATTCAGAACCTCATATATGCTGGGCAAGCCATCCAGCCCCCACTGAGCTGTATTCCGAGTCCACAATTCTTTTCTGAAAAATATATAATTTCCATGAAGAGTTGAAGTGATGTCCAGAGAGCTCGATCTTCATTTGTGATGGAGGCTCTTCTATAAGTCATGACTTTAGATACATTTTATAGCTTCCTTAGCCCTCAGTTTTCCTCATAAACTATGGCAGTCATAACCCATGCTCTCTACTGTGTGCTCTTGCTGTGGAGGTCACCTGAGGTCATACATGGGAAATTCTTTAAGATGTTTGAGGGTGTCACTTGCTGTCCTTATGGCAGGCTGCCCTAGATTAGATAGCATCCCAGTGTCCTGTCTTGCCAGGTACAATTTAGGGGCAGTGAACTCATAAGGGATTGTGGCTGCCTTGTCCTTATATGCAGTATAGAACAAGGTTTGTGTGGGTGTGGGGGGGTCGTATGTATGTGTGTGTGTGTGTGTGTGTGTGTGTGTGTGTGTGTGTGTGTGTGTGTGTGAGAGAGAGAGAGAGAGAGAGAGAGCTATTCTTTGCAGTTGTCCTAGCCTTGTGCTT